GAGAGAGAGCACACACAAGCGGCGGGGAGGGCAGAGGCAGAGGGAGAAACAGACTCTCCACTGAGCAGGGAGCCTGATGCAGGGCTCAATCCCATAACCTCAGTATCATGACCTGAGCCAAAGGCAGATGCTTAACTGCCACCCAGGTGCTCCTGGTTTGCATATCCTTATGCTTGAATCTTTTTTTTTTTTTAAGATTTTATTTATTTGACAGAGAGAGAGAGTGAGAGCAGGAACACAAGCAGGGGGCGTGGGAGAGGGAGAAGCAGGCTTTCCACCGAGCAGGGAGCCCGATGTGGGGTTCGATCCCAGGACCCTGGGATCATGACCTGAGCCGAAGGCAGACGCTTAACGACTGAGCCACCCAGGTGCCCCTATGCTTGAATCTTAATACATATTTCATATTGATTCCTAGAAACAGGTATTTTTAAGACAATTGATTCATATTCCCAAATTGCATTCAAAAATCTTCACCAAATTTATTGCTAATAGTTTTATTTTATATATCTTAATATCCTTGTCAATATAACTTCTAATTTTTAAAAATAATTTTTACTTTGATATCCACACTAATATTAACATAGCCATCTTTGTTTTGTTTTTATTTACCTCATACACCTTTGCTCATTTTATGCTGTATCATTTGTTTCAGATGTTGTTCTTATAATATATGCAACTGTCATTATTATTGACCCAATCAATAATGTCTCTGCCTTTCTACAGAAGAGTTTATTAATTGCTGTGGGTTTTTTTTTTTACTTCTCATTTTTCTGCTTCTTGGCTATTTCCCTTTTATCCTATATTTTTCCACAGGGGATCTGTTCTTTTGCTTTTGTCTTCTTCAGTGATGATATCATACGCAAAATACCATTTTCATATACTGTTATCGGTCCTGTGGGACCCAATTTAACAAACAGATAAAAACTACAACTGAAAGAATAAATTTGTTTAATGATACTTGAAATTACTGATTCAATTATTTACAGCTACTTGCAATCTTTTTTACACTCTCTAGTTCTGGGAATGAACGGGCACATGTCTGGGGCTCACACCTGGGCTGTGTATGTGTGGACAGACCCAAAGGAACATAGCAAAGGCTTTGAAACTAGCAAGACAGACCTTGAAGTCTGAACTTAACCAGGCTAACTGCTTGCTAAAACAAAGTCAACATTCCACAGAGTATGTAAATATGACCTAGAATCTTCAAACATAATACTTAAAATCTAGGATGCATTCCAAAAATACTCAATATACAAAAGAACCAGAAAAATGTGACCAATTCTCAAAAGAAATGAACAGACTCCCATTCTGTGATGACCCAGATGTTGAAATTAGTAAACAAAGACTTTAAAGCAGCTATTATAATATGCTCCATAAAGTAAACAAAAATACTCTTCAAATAAATGGGAAGATAGAAGTTCTCAACAGAGAAATATAAAATATGAGACAAGAGCATTGGAAAGAACTAAACAGAGAACATAGCATAATGTACAGAGATTTTAAATCACTATGGTGTACACCTGAAACTAATGCCCATTGTATGTCAACTATACTTCAATTAAAAGATAAATAAAAGGTTTACTTAAAAACAAATAAAAATAAAAAGAACATTTCATATAAGAAATTTCTAATAGGGGTGCTCGGGTGGCTCAGTCGGTTAGACATTCAATGCTCAGGTAATGATCTCAGGGTC